CCTGCTGGATTCAACCACCTACCTACCCATGGTTTCCCCCTACTCATTTCCTGTCACCTTCCAGTGATCCTGCCCCTGCTGGCCAACAGTTTTTTGCTTCTGAAGAACTAGGTCTCTGCTCTTTCTGTAATGAAATAACCTGACATATTGGGGAAACTGTGTAATGTCTGTATTTCAGTATTTATTATCTATGCAACCATTAGCATACTAAAGGAAAAAAAAAAGCAGTTATTTTTAAATTACTTTTTCCTTGCAGGTATGATGGAGTTCAGTCTCTTTGGAGTATCTTATGTAAGCCAAACAGTTATTACTTTATATTTAATTATCTTTACTGGATATAAAAATATATCATATTACAGCTGGATTATTTTCTAAACTTTTAGACAGGAGCAGATATATGTGGCTTCTTTCAAGATGCACAGTATGAGATGTGTGTTCGCTGGATGGAGCTAGGCGCATTTTACCCATATTCAAGGAATCACAATGGGAAAGGAACAAAGGTGAGTCACGGTTTTGCTAATGGTTGTGTCCCTTGCAGCACACATGAATAGACCAGCCAGAACATCACACAAAGAGACTAGCCTCAAAAAAATGCACATTCCAAAAAAAGTGAACATGAAAAGAACATTTCTTAGGTTATATGTAGCATGCCAACTCTATCAGTCTCTCCCTCCACTCTCAGGTTTAACACTCTCAGGTTTAACACTCACAGAGAGCCTGCCTCATGATTTAGACCACGTGAAGTAAGCATTCCTGTGTGGTTTGAGTGAATCAAACTTCTGCATATTTATTTTTTCATGTATGCCATTTTTATTTACACACAACACATTTACAGGACTAAAATAGAACACTTTTATGGCAATATACCTTTAAAGGGGCAAAACTGACCTTGGTGTTCTCATCCATAGTTGTTCATAATTATACAGTAAATCAGAAAATGAAATAGTGTAATGAGATGCTTGGATGAGTATCTGAAATTACCGTATTTTGCCATTTCCCACCATAAGACATCATATTTCTTACTACTTTTTACATAAAATAGTTATTTTAAGAATAAAGGGGGAAAAATGATCTAAATGTAAGACTGTGCTGACTAAGGACTGTATTATGGAAATCCATAAACTAAGATAACTGGAAAAATGAAAATAATTGAAACGGCATTTACATTTTGGTTAGAACTTAATGTCTAGCAGAGTAGAGGTCTCTATATGGCACATAACTAGTGAATTCAAGTCTGCTTTTGAAAAAGTGTGCTTTATCTTGTTGCAGCACACTTCCTGATAGGACTTTTAAAGCTTTTAAAAATGTAGATTCCAGGCTTTTCTGCTGCTTCCAGTCTTACCCAATTTGCCAAGGTATTTTTCAATATATTTAATAAAGATTGAAAGTCCTACTGACATTATCAGTAGTGATTAGTTCTCTTTTAAAAAGTCCTGAGCGCTGCCCTGCAGAAAAGAGGGGTAATATATTTTGTACGCCAGAATATGTCTCACATTCAGTTGAGTTTTGCATTAAACATTTTTGAAGTAAATCCCCTTAGGTTTTTTCTCATCTTCTCCCTTTTTTAGTTTCCCTGTTTGTGGTTAACAGTGACACCTACTATTTTTATTATCACTTTATTCTTAAATAAAGAATAAACAAATAAAGGTGCTCTAAATTACAGGAGGACAAGGAGTTTGCAAGGGTTCAGAGAAATTTCCTCAACTCTATCTTGCTATGTTGATTCTGGTACACATTTGAGAGTTGCTTCTACCACAGATTATATGAATTTATGGGTGAAATATAAGATGGAGAAAAAAAAAAGGCTAAACATGACCACCACTGTAAACATTAGTAAATTCTTTAACTCATGGGTTTTTTCTTTTTATTGCTTCAAAACAAAATAATCCAGTTTGAAAAACAGCTGTCCCTTTTTTCTTTTTAGAGGCAAGATCCTGTTGCCTGGAATTCAACATTTGAAGACATTTCCAGAAATGTACTGAATATAAGATATACCCTGTTACCCTATCTCTACACGTTAATGTACGAAGCCCACGCTCATGGAAGCACTGTGATCCGCCCTCTACTCCACGAGTGAGCGCGACTCCCTTTTCACCATTTAATCGTGAATTTCCATAATCAGTACCCTCATGAAAATATTTTCCCTCAGCAATTATACTGTTTTTTCTTTTAAAATTTGCATGAGACTAAGAATACAAGCTTTCAGTATCAAGTCGCACTTTGACAGTGCTAATTCTCCATTTCATACTATGCAAATATAAGCAATTGAAAACTGGCTTATTTAGGATTAATGTGTAATTTTTAAGGCTCATTTGTATCATCTTTGGCAAGTAACAAAAGTTCTGTCTGGTGCTGGACATATGTAGAATCAAAAAGCAAATGTTGCAAAAATAGCTGGGTAAAATTTCTAAGCAGAAAATAGAAAAAGATGAAGTCAGAATTTTGACATAAATCATGAGAGCTGTACAGGGAAACTAACTTATTTTAGTCAAACTTATATAGCTGATTAGAAAAAGACATGTTTATAAGACACACAAGGCCTTATTTATATCTGGTCAGAAGGGACAGTATGTGCAGAAGCTTAATTTTTAACATTAATGATCTAAATACTTGTCTTCCACTAACGAGCATTGAACTGTCTGCAGGTTAATGATTCCATTAAAGTACCTAAGAAAGAAATGTTATGAATTGGAAAGTGGTTTCCGGTCTGGCCAATAGTCAGTTTTGCTACTGCTAATGCCCACCAAGAAAAAATGATCTTCTGAGTTTTATGATCTAAATATACTGAAAAGCAAATGGAAAGAAAGAGCAGAAATGAAAACTAAGTAAAAGGTTGCATTTCTTTAATGATTTTCACAACAGACTTTTTAGACATTCTTGGCAAGCGTTAATTGATCCATTTATAATTAAATGCGATACATTTCAAATGCGATACTAATTGTTATTAACTATTATTAAAAATAGCATAAATAAAATTGAGGAAATAGTAGATTCAATTACTGAGAAAAGGGCTTAAATAAGGAAACAATTTGTAATATCAAATGTCTGATAGTTGTTTTGTTACCTTGCAGATTTGTGGAAGATAGAACAACATGGGAAATATATAAACAGTTTCTGTGGGGACCTGCACTGCTCATCAGCCCTGTAATGGAACCAGTAAGTCTTTTGAGTACTTAGGTGTTTTTGTATATGAAAGTATTAGAAGTCACTTTAGCTACACTTCACTTTTTGCTTTAATATAGCTATAACAAAAATATTTATTTCCAGAATGCTGTGACAGTGAATGCTTACATACCGAATGCCCGCTGGTATGATTACTACTCAGTAAGTAATTTTAAAAACTATCTGTGACATACCTTCTTTCTAGTGCTGTTTAGACTGCATGGTGTGCTGAGAATGCTGGTAAGGTAGGAACCAGCTGTTCGCATTTTACCGTGATGCATAAAGCACAAGTTCTTAGTGATGTAGCAATCACATCTTCTTGGCTGATTTCTTACTTAAAAAGTAAGGAGTCAGCTCCTTTTAATGTAATATTTTTAACATAACCTCAGTAAGAGTAAATTAAAACATGGAATAGTATCTTTACTCTGAAGTATTTTTATTGACTTTTTTTAAGCCTTGAAAGCTATCATAATGTCTTTGCTGAGGATGCTGGAATGGAGAAAGACAAAACAGTTTTAGCTGCATCAGCCTTTCACAGAAATTGGGAAACGATTTGGAGGACAGAATAGCAGGCATCAAAAGTCACTTCATCTGTCACTAGTTAGTATTTCACTGGACTAAACCCTTTGGTTCCGCTACTGTCAGGTTATTTTATGTTCACAGAATGTCATACCTTATCCTAAAAATGTTATGTAGTTACTTTTGCATTTAAAAATTTTTTTGCCATGATTACTCTTAACATTTATATGTATACATTTATAACCTTCATTCTTAAAAAAAAAAAAAAAAGTGTAAATCAAGACCAATTCAACAAGACTAATTTTTGCTTTGTTTTATTTTTTCATATGTAGGGTGAATTCATTGGCTTTAGGGGACAGTTCAGAAATTTATCAGCTCCTTTGGAACATATCAACCTTCATATCCGGGGTGGTTACATCCTTGCTACGCAAAGCCCTGCTAACACTACTTTTTACAGGTACAATAAGATTAACTGAAAAATTAAAAATTAATTTCATTTTATTTTCTACTTTTAAAAATAGATATTTAATTACAGATATGGAGAATTAACTGCATTTTAATTATATGGTGGCAGCTTTTTTCTGGATTCCTTGGTTCAACCTGGGAAAAGTAGAATTTTCTGGTTTAATGTGCACCATGGCTAGAAATATCTCCCCTTTCATATAAATATTAACAGCCCTGAGATAATCTACATGTATGATAGCACATTATCTTCTTGACTATTTTTGTGTTCAGTTTTCTTCTCAAGGCCTCCTTTAAACTTAGTACTATGGATTCAGGAAGACAAGTATCAGTGATTACAGATATTGTAGGCAGCTCAGTTATCAGTTATGTAAATTATAACAAATATGAAACATAAAATGTGATTACCTGAGAAAATTGATGAAAAACAGTATTTTTTCCTAGCCGAAAAAATCCATTGGGACTTACTGTTGCTTTGAATGATAGTCAGCTTGCACAAGGACAGCTTTATTGGGATGATGGAGTTCGCATTGGTACGTATAATATTTCTTGCTTTCCTAATAAATCTAATTTGAAGTCTTGAATGCGTAACTGTTCTCTCTTTAGCTCTGTGTATTGCTAACATGAACAAGTAATATTTTCTTCAAGGATATTGTACAGTGACTGTGCAACAAGGCACAGGCAGCTTAAGTATGTGTTTAAGGGATAGACCAGAAAAAAAATTATAATAAATTTTTTTCTGATTTAAACCACATAATAGTGTTATTTACAGAACTCATATTTTGCATAAATTAAATTGTGTCCTGGTCCAAGGATAACATATATAATAAGGATGTGTTCTCAAACCTATGGGAAGTATAACCATAGATTAAGTGGGAAGTTTTAACTAATTTCCTCAATATTAATAAATTTAAATTATCTTCAGATAAGAGATATCTAGAAGTCTCTTATCTTTTTTATTCACAGTATATTATCCTTGCAATAACTATAGATTATCACCTGGGATTACTACCAGTAATGCACAAAATTGTGATTTAGCATAATGACATGTTGGAAAGGAAGTCTGCAGGACGCTGTCAGTGTATTTGGAGGTACTTCACATACATCACAACCAGTTATCACTGGAATTTAGAAATTATGACTATGTTCATGGTAGGTTAATGATAAAAGAAATTAGCATTGATGAAAAAAAAGCAGGATCTCTGTGAGTTGTTTTCTATAGAGCAGAAAGAAATACCTAAAATGCCTCTGGTTATTTGACTTCTTTTGATACTTAAATGAGTTCATAAAATATACAGCAGTGATACAAAAGAAGCATCAGCATCTATCATGATAATATGTTTTGGAACAAAGAGTAGAGTTGGGCGTGGGAAATCGCTCCCATAACTTTTTCAGTGGGAAACACTTTTTCTTGCTGATCTTAGCATCCTTGACCTTCCAAATGCTGTTTGTTTGTCTTCCGTTGTATTTTTTCTCTAAAACTTTTGTACAGTGTACAGTCCAACAAGAATTTGTTTTATGTCTAAAAGCATGTTTTATGAAAATAGTATCAGAACTGTTTTCTATTTACACATAGACAAATGTACCATGTGTACATATATAGTATAGGCCAGCACAATTCATCTATTTCATTTTTACAAAATATTAAGGTGAAGAGGGAATACATTTTACTTTACTCTCTTTTTAACAGATGCATATGAAGATGGTATATATCTGCTAATATCATTTAGTGCTAACCAGGTATGTAATGTTACCTTAGTTTTTGATTACTTTGAGTGATTATTGTTATATATTTAGCTAAGGTATTTTTAATTTGGAATTTTTCTGATGTTTAGATATCCCACCATAACATTAGTTCTCTATGATAGACTAGTTCTTATTTAGTATCATGAGGACTGTTGCAGGTCTATAATTGCCAATTCAAAAAACTGGGATTGCAAGTTTGCAACAAAATTAACTAACATATACTGGAAGGATAAACTCATTTTGCATTACTCATACCAGCATAAATCAGGACAACTTAATATACTTCACTAGAGTTATTCCACAGATATGCATGCACACACACACACACACACACACACACACACACACACACACACACACAGAGAGAGAGAGAGATATAGAGAGAGAGAGAGAGATATAGAGAGAGAGAGAGAGATATAGAGAGAGAGAGAGAGATAGAGAGAGAGAGATATAGAGATATATATAAAGTGGCTAGTCCAGCCTAAAACCTCTGAGATATTGGTTTGTATTCCAAATCTGAATATAGGATTCCAATATGACAGTAGGTTGCAGCTTAACAGTAGACTGACTCGAATCCTAGATATATACATTTGCCAGTTCTTCTGGTATATATTAAGGAACTGACAAGGAGTGTATTTGGTCTGGATCTACACTATAATACAATTAATATTAAATTGTATTAATAATAAATTAAAAAAGGATTCTGAAGATATCTATTTTAGCTTATTATTGTGTGGTGTGTATTTATGATATTATAACTTCTGATATAAATTTGAACATACAAATTTATTTCATTTTTAACTTTTATAAATTTTTTTAATAAAATGATTTTTATAAACTGAAAACATATACTTACTTGATTTCTGCAACAATGCAAGGCTAATGGTGGCATTTTTTTAGTCACATAGTCCGTATGACTTTCAAAGATAATTTACTAGCATTTATTTAAATTTTTAGATTATCAGCTCATGCATATTTAAAAGGCATGCAGTTAAGCATATATATCTATATATGACACAATTTACTGTGTCAAATTAGAGAAAGATGACTATATTAAAAATCAATATATCTGGCCTGGACTATAGTCGCAGCTAGAGCCAGTGAAGTCCTTTGAAATCTGCAAAGAGAAAGAGCAAACTGTCTTAGCATCCGTGCTACTTCTACAGCGTTTAGATATATCAGAACAGCCATATAAGGAAAACCAGCCCTTGCTGAAAGAGACAAAAACAAGAATTAACATGTTGGAAAACTTTAAAGATGAATGTTTTTGACACTGGCTTACAGCCGCAGAGAGGCGTGTCCACCCAACAAAGATTCCAGCCTCAGGGTTCTTCTCAGGGACAAGCACTTAAAATTGTTCTTTTAAAATGCAGAAGCTTAAGCAAAGAGAATTTACTCAGATACCAAAATTTTTAGAGAAGCCCACCATTAAAGCAGGAGCTTTGGGAATACTGATCCATTCTTTCTTCCAGTTTAATGTCCTGTGAGGATGGAAAGCAGGGAAAAAGGTCCCTGAGTTAGGCCTCATACAAGGTAGAAGACAACGCAAAATTTCTGTCCTGGTGATACTGGTGTATAGATTTCTCCATCTAGCAAACTGTACTACACATTGGGTAGGGGCTCACAAAAGAGCAGGCATTTCACTGTGCCCCAGTGAAGCAATGGAGATAGCACAGTTTACTATGCCTCAGTTTAGCGGCAATTAAGACACAGAGCCCAGGGTTTAGCCAGATTAACAATTCAAGGAAAATTGAAGCTTTTGGTATTGGACAAATAAATATCAATATACAGATTAAGGAAAATTAGAATGGGAGGACAAAATCTGTAAGGCTCAAGTGGGCTGAAAAAAGCATACTCTGACAGGTAACAGTTAACAGGCAATCAAATCAAATAACTGATTATTTTTTTTCTTTCTCTTTTCCTTTCAGAATATTTTAGAGATCAAGGTTTTGCACCAGGGTTATGCTGATCCAAACAATTTAAAGTTTACTGAAATTAAAATCTTA